AGGGTGGTGGCAGGCAGAGGAAAAAAGGATAATTAGGATCAGATTAGATTGGCATTAAAGTTTATCTTTGAAGCCGGTGTTCCTCAGAGAGTGATGCGTGGACGGTCTGCTTCAGATTTGCAGGGTGAGGCCATCCCTGGAACTTCAGTCATCCCTGATTCATTATTTTCACCTCTTGCAGCGCTACCAAGAGAGAGGAATCTGCAGAAGAGACAGTAACTCTAATTTTATAAGGCAGTGAATGTGAATCCCATTTTCTTAATTTTCTGATCAATTTTGTTGAATTAGACTTTAGCATAATGAAAGGCATAGGCAGTTGCTGACAGTGTCATTTAAAGATTTGCTTTCTGAAGATTGGATGTTTGCTACTTATTTAATAAATGGGGAAAACATTTAAAATGACCTTATAATCCATAGTGTAGCCTTTGACTAAAATGAGTGCCACTTAGCTTAGTAAGCAAACTAGGTAATTGCCAATGGCTAAATGATTTGGTGAATTGTGGAGCGTTTGGAATTTTCATACTGGACCCTGACTACCCTAAAGAAGTTGTATGTTCTGGTATCCTTTGTCTAGAATACACTGTTAAATTGGCTTACCTCTTAAGTTATACCACAGCTTGGGTCTCTTTAAAATTACCCTGCCCCATAGGAGATTTTTGTCTATTTATTCTAAGGGACAATCATGGTGAATGATTTTTAGCTTTTCTTTATAGTAAGTAATAATGAAAAGTTAGTGTTATTTCATTATGACTACATAGAATGTATAGATCTTAAGGTCCTATAGTAATGTTTCATACTGACACTGAATAGTGCACAGTTCTTACGTATATTAAATACGTTGGTTTTGTTATCTACAACTCTGATTAAGGATCAATTAAAAAACACTGACTACGGGATCACTTGTAGAACACCAGCCTTCATAGAAAAGTTACCAGAGGGAAAGACTGCCTGAACAAAATTATTCGCCTGAATGGCAACTTGATTAGACATTCATCAGATATTGTTTTAATATAAACCATTTTTTTTTAAAGAATGTGCTTGGCCTGCTTGCACAGTTTGAGGGCATAAGAAATAACCTCAGTGAAGTGCAAGATTCCAACACTTTTTAACAGCTGACAATAGCCGTCAGACAGCACTCTGCAAAATGGTATCAAATGATTTTCAGCAGACTTCAGGAGGCTGCAAAATTTACATCACCGGCACAGAGTAGAAATAGCCATAAGGGTAGTACCCAGTTTCCAAATGTCTCCCTTTAAAAAAAAAAAACGGTTTCCACTTCTGAGTTGATGAGAATCAGAATTCATTTTCTTACAGTATTATAAATAGGCTTAGGATTCTAGACCAACCTTCAGAAACATCTTTGACCTTCCTGAGTAATAGTTCTGTTTCACCTTCCATTAAGCTCTGACTTCTTTAGAAAATATATTCCTACGATAGGGGGAGATGCCTGATTAAGTCCCCTTCCCCTCTTGTTAATAGAAACTTCTATCAGGGGCCTCGAGAAATGGGTAAACCTTCATGAACACAAATATCTCGTATAAAGAATTTGTCAAGGTCTTTCTCTTCCTGGATGTTTCTGATTCTGCTATGAAGAGATACCAGGTCTCTGCAGGGGCAGGAAATCCAAATTGCTGCTGTCTTGTGTTTGATTGTATGAGTCATTTGTGAATTGAGTCAGGTGCTTTTTATTTCAGTATGGAGGAGAAATAACACATTTTTCATTGTTTTGTTCAGAAGTTATGTGCACAAACTAAGCTTTTTTTTTTTTTTTTAAATTTCCAAACTAAGCTCTTTGAAGGCTTATTTGCTTTTGTGTCTCTAGCACTTAGCACAGTGGCCAACACACAAAAGATGTCATGTTTGTTGAATGAATCAGTGACTGACTGAGGGAGTGAACCATTAGCTGACCCCATTATGTGCTTGCAATTATACATGGTCTTTCTGAGATTGTGGTATTTCGATATATTCATTTTATAGCAGTATTAAAATTGAATTATGGATTTTAGAGGGATAAGCTTTTCAAGGTACTTTCCTTTCTTGAACAAGAAAAATAGTGCATTTTCTAAAACTCTGTAGATGGGATGGCCTAGTTGCCATCAGCCCACAATAAGGCAATTGTTTTTGGTCTAATGGAAAAATTAGGAGAGTAAAGAAATTGCCTAACTGAATTAGATTGCCAAAGAACAAACTGTAATTTTCCAATTTAGAAAAAAATGTCCAAATCTTGATATCAAGGGAATGTTTCTATTTTAAGTTGTTTTTTTTTTAATGTTTATTTATTTTTGAGAGAGACAGAGACAGAATGCGAGTGGGTTGGGGCAGAGAGGGAGACACAGAATCGGAAACGGGCTCCAGGCTCTGAGCCATCAGCACAGAGCCCGATGCGGGGCTCGAACTCGTGAGCCGTGAGATCGTGACCTGAGCCGAAGTTGGACGCTCAACCGACTGAGCCACCCAGGCACCCCTTCGGAATGTTTCTATTTTATGCATTCAATTTTTTTTAATGTTTATTTCTGAGACAGAGAGAGACAGAGCATGAGTGGGGGAGGGGCAGAGAGAGAGAGGGAGAGAATCCGAAGCAGGCTCCAGGTTCTGAGCTGCGGGCTCGAACCCACAGATTGCGAGATCATGACCTGAGCCGAAGTTGGACGCTCAACCGACTGAGCCACCTAGGCGCCCCAGGAATGTTTCTGTTTTAAAATAATCTGTCAGGTGGCTCAGTCGGTTAAGCCTCAGACTTCGGCTCAGGTCATGATCTCACAGTTTAGGAGTTTGGGCCCCGCATCGGGCTCTGTGCTGACAGCTTGGAGCCTGGAGCCTGCTTTGGATTCTGTGTCCCTCTCTCCCTGCCCCTCCCCTGCTCATGCTCTGTTTCTGTCTCTCAAAAATAAATAAAACATTAAAAAAATTTTAAAATAATATGTCATCTTGCTTTTTGGCCTTAACTGTAAGCCCCATGTTTCCTAGTTTTTATGCTCCTTCATAAGCCATAGGAGAGTAGAGAGTAAGTATAGCAGAATATGTGTGAGCGTGGGCTTTAGAACTCCAGGAGCCCTGGTTTCAAACCCCACTCCACCACTTACTGCTCTGTGATCTTGGTCAAGGTATATAAACTAAGTGATCTGGTTTTCTCATTGTAGTAAAGGGATGATAAAGAATCCTTGGCATGTGTAAGTGAATTAATGTCTATAAAGCACTTAGACACATAGAAATCTGAATATGTTAGTTGTTATGTGATAACCCCTATATGTGAGTTGCCTCTTTTTGCCTTTGCTCATGTTAACCTTTTTTTTTTTCAAGTAAATTTGAAAAGTTCCTGGCTGCTCTTGAAAGACCTACGGTGACTCCTCCCTGCATTTTGTGACATCTCTCTCACTATCTCCTCTTTTTTATATTAAGTAGTTGTTACGGCACTCACCATGTACTATAGTTATGTGTTTGTCTGCATTGGGTCACAAATCCTCTAAGGACAAGGAATATGTTTGAATTTTTCTCTGTTCCCAGTACAGGGCATGGCACATGCACGTGGTATTTAACAGAGCATTTGTTAAGTTGTTTATTTGACGTGTATATGGAGATCTTCTACAAGCTATGCAGTGTTAATCAAATGATAGTGCTGCTTTAGGACTTATAATATGGCTAGGAATGTGCTTGGCAATTAGGAAGTAGTTACGTGGTATTTCAGTGCCAAAGATGAGAATATTATCACAAAGCTAATTGAGCCATGATTCCAGGTACCAGACTGTTACTTTCTTATCATCTATATGTAATTGAGTTTAGCAACTTTTAAAACCTTATATATAATTGAATGTTATATATGCGTCCTTCCCACTATAAGCATCCTAGGTATCTGGTTTAGTCCCATCTTTTAAAATGATTCTTTGCTAGAAATATGAAGCTTGACTGGTTTAAATACAATATTTTGTTTATATTTTGTAGTATTTTAATAACTAAATCTTGATGATTAGCATTGAGAACTTACTATGTGTCAGGCACTAAGGATTTTAGTATGCTATTTGATTTAAATCCTTATAGCAATCTGACGAGATAGTAAGCACTTCTGATTTCCATGCTTTTACAGAGACAAGTAAAGTTTGCAAATATGGGCTAACTTGCTGGTAAGTCCTAGATCCAGGATGTGAACCTAGGCAATCTGATTCTGGGGCCTAAGTTTATAGTTATGCAACTGCCTGCTCTTTTCACGTTTTCTTTGAACTTTATCTGTTTTTTAATTTAGTTTGAGGTAACATATATAAAAGTTTGTCTCCAAATAGTTGCTCAAAAGTAATAGTTTTATTTCTTCTGATATATCATATATATCATAAGAGATATATCTCTTATGATATAATATATCATAAGAGATATATCTCTTATGATATAACATAAGAGATAAATTCAAAGATACTCTCCATGCCTTTTTGAGATTTTAATTCCTTGTTGCAGTGTTTCTTGAACATCCTATTTTAATCTGAGCAAATGTTCTCATGTGAAGGAAATCACAGAGTGTCAGAAAATATCAGAAATTATAGACCTCTTGTTTCAAAATTCAGTTTTTTTCATTGATACTTTGTTTTATTAAAAAAATTACATTAAGGTATCCGTGTGAAATGTTAGGTGTGTTTTTTGTCACTGTGTGCATTTAATTTGTCTCATGTCTGAGCAACAAATATTTGTAATTTTAAAGATTTTTAAAATTCACCTTTGTGGTTTGGTTTAAATGTGGAAACTTGATATCCAGTATCTTAACATCCAAATAACTTGCACAGTTCTACATAGATTTGGAAATTCAGCCCGAATGTTTCCTAATTATTATGTACAGCAAAATTTTGCCATTGTATAGTTTACCTTTTTCTTCCTTAATGCCAACATTATATTCATGTAATATGTATTTATATATATATATATATATCAGGTGTTCTATTCTGTTTAGAGAAATGTTTTTAAAAATATTGTTAAGCTCTTTGTTTCATGTAAGCACTTTTCATCTTTTTTAATAATAGGTAAATCAACAAGCTGGGAAGATGATGGTTGGGGAGCATGGGAAGAAACAGAACCCCAAGAACCTGTAAGTCTTTATAAATGTATGCATGCTTTTTGAAAGTGGCATTTTCCTTTTGTAATGATGGTGACACATTCCAGTGTTAGGTCGACATTTGAAAACCTTTGTCAAGGACATCTTTATGCTTACTTAATAGTACTTAAGCAAATATTTTTATTTTTAAGGTATATTTATTTATATTGAAAGAGGGAGCATGTGCACGTGTTAGCAGGGAGGGACAGAGAGAGAATCCCAAGCAGGCTTCGTGCTGCTGTCAGCATGGAGCCCGATGGGGGGCTTGATCTCACAAACTGTAAGATCATGACCTGAGCCGAGGTCAAGAGTCAGATGCTTAACTGACTGAGCCACCCAGGCGCCCCAAGTAGATACCTTTCTTAAGGATTTAATGACTTTAAGTCAGCCAGCTAAGCAGGCTGAATGGAGAATAACTGTTTTAGGATTCTTTCTCCTTGATTAGTTATTATTTTAGACTCCTCTACTTATTCAACACATATTTGTTAAGTGCCCATCATAATCTAGGCATTTTTCTAGATGCTGGAAGTATAGCAATGAGTAAGTAGAGGAAGTCCCTGGATGTATTTTCATCTATCAGTAATAGAAAATCTAACCTAAACTGGCTTAAATAACAAGGAGATTCATTAGCTCATATAGAAGGAAGTCAGAGGTAGTATGGACTCATAGGTGTTTGATCAGGAGATTCAACTATGTCATCAAGGACTTAAGTTTTTTCCTTCTGTCTCCTCTGCATATACAGTACTGACTTCATCCTAAAGATTGTTTTTCTCTAGATGGAGTGTGGCACCATGTTTCTTCATTCATGACCAGAGGGAGAAAACAGACTCTTACAGGAGCAGGGAACAACGTTTTCAGAAACCTCTAGTGAGCCTTGCTTGTATCTTCTTGGCCAGAATAAGGCCAGACACTCATTTTTGAACTAGTCACTGGCAGGGGATAGATTTTTCCTCAGTCAGTCATACCATTCCCTCGAGTTGGAAGATAAAGGGTCAACGTCTCCTGAGGCCCATGACTGAACAAAATTACAATTTTTTATGAAGAAAGAAGAATGAACATATATATTGGGTAGATCTTCTTATCGTCCCTGTTCTAGCAGCTTATACTCTAATGGGGAGAGAAAATTTTTTTCAAAAAGATAGATAAAAGTATCAAATGGTGGTAATCAGAGTTATGTGGGGGATTCAAATGGTGATGTGATGGCAAGTGATCAAGTGACTACTATAGCTTGGGTGGCCTAGGAAGGCTTTTTAGAGGATGCCACATTTAAGCTGCGGTCTGAAAGACAACAGGGAGTCAGCAACGTGAAGATCTGGCAAAGAACATTGCAGGCCAGGGCAACAGCTCATGCAGAGGCCCTGTGGCAGGACTGGGCTTGGAGTTTGGAGGACATAAAGAAGGCCAGTGTGGCTTGGCAGGACTGGAGGCTATGAGATGGGGTCAGAGAAATTGGCGGGTTTCATGTAAGGCTTTGTGAATTTGGAGTTATTGTAAATGTGATAGGAAACCACACATAGCTGATTTCTCACTTTTAAAATTCATCTTCGCTGCTTTTTGGGATAAGTTGAAATAGGGACTGAAAGTAGAAGCAGGGAGAGCAGTTAGGAAGCTGTTGTGGTAGTGTAGCTGGGAAATGATGGCTTCCACTAAGGTGATATTAGTGAAAATGAGATAGTGATGGATTCAGGATAAGTTTAGAGATAATAAGATTTTGCTCTCAGTTGGTTGTGAGGGATGAAAGGGAAAAAAAAATCGAGGATTTACTTCTGTGATCCTGGGATGTGATGTAGAGTAGATGAAACATCCTTGGCAAGGTGTCGGTACTCCCTAAAGCCGGGTGATAGGTACCAGTCTCTTCATTTTTGGCAGTGTTTGAAAATATCCACTATAAGTTTCTTTCTAAAAAGAAAACTTACTTTTGGTTTTTGGCTTGAGCAGGTGTTTGGCTTGAGCAGCTGGATGGATGGTGGGGAAAACTAGAATAGGTTTGAGGGAGAAATGGAAGAGCATTGTGTTGTAGGAAGCGGAGCCTGCTACGTCATGCCAATTGGTGGAAAAGCTCCGTGGGGCGATTAAGAACAGGAAACCAGTTCAGAAGGCCTTACAGAGAATTGGAATGTGTTGAATAAGATGTAATGCAGCTCGAGGAACTTGTTTCACCATCACTTCAGCAAACAGACACCTTGTTCCTTGCCCCTCTAGTGCGGTGTCATCATGGGGACTCAGCTGTACTCTGTCTCTGTTTTTACCAAGACTGACTGGCTTCCGCTTACTCACGATCTACACTGTTTCATGGCTGTTATTTGTGTCTTTCATTTGTGGTTGTCTTGGATTCTTTTCTCCTCTTTGTTTCACACCCAGAGCTCATATGAGGATTTGATGGAGTCTCTTCATCACTACCCAGTACAGGACATTTGCAGATGGTGGGGCATAGTATTTATACCCGGCTACTCCGTGGGATGTCAGCCTGCCTCTTAATGCTGCCCTCTGATGGGGCATCCACCAGAGGTCTCATTAGCTACTATGGGGGTGGAAAGAAAGGCGAGGGGGTGTGTGTAAAGAGGGTTGGAGGCTCCGCATGACCGGGTGAGTAAACCTCTCAGGAGGAGATGGGTGTGCTTGGAGAACCTCTCAGAAAGAGGCGGTGTGACTGGTAGCTACTTTGCATGTGGTGTTGGCTACATTCAGTATTTGTTTTCTAGAAACCTATAGCTAAGTGACTGTTGTGAGTAATACGACAAGCTCCTGAGTAAGTTTGAGGTTTTCTGGAATAAACCTCACAGACATTGTGTGTTAAAGTGGACACACGCATTTGTGATCTCCGGGGAGGTTCCATTGGGACAGTTATTGTTAAACATCTAAAATGGTGCTGGTGCTGAGTTACGGTATTTATTTACAGACCTAGAGGCCTACATCTTACTGTCTACTGGAGCATAGTTGGTTCTTTCTGGAATGGATTTTTCCTAGTGAATGACATAGTTGGAGAGTTGTGTGTTACATTTTCTGTAATATTAAGTATTAATATTAGTATTAATATTAATAAATATTAAATATTAGATGTAATATTAATCTGATAATATTAAGGGGGTTAGTTTACTGATAGTGTGTCATATCCCTGCTTTTTGGCTCACGTAACAGTGTGCCTTCTCTAAGTGTGTACTTCCTCGTGGCATTGTAATGTGCCAGAGTAGAAAATGATTGAAGCTACAATTTGGGGTCAGAGAAGCAATAGTCCTGATGTAAGGCTTTATGAATTTGGAGTTTATTATTTTTATTTATTATTAAAAAAATTTTTTTTTTTTTAAATTTTTTCTTTTCAACGTTTATTTATTTTTGGGACAGAGAGAGACAGAGCATGAACAGGGGAGGGGCAGAGAGAGAGGGAGACACAGAATCGGAAGCAGGCTCCAGGCTCTGAGCCATCAGCCCAGAGCCTGACGCGGGGCTCGAACTCACGGACCGCGAGATCGTGACCTGGCTGAAGTCGGACGCTTAACCGACTGCGCCACCCAGGCGCCCCTAAAAAAATTTTTTTTAATGTTTATCTATTTTGAGAGACAGAGACAGAGAGAGAGAGAGAGTGCAGGAGAGGAGCAGAGAGGAGACAGAATCTGAAGCAGGCTTCAGACTACGAGCTGTCAGCCCAGAGCCTGACGCAGGGCTCAAACTTATAAACAGCAAGGTCATGACTTGAGGCGAAGTCGGATGCTTAACTGACTGAGCCATCCAGATGCCCTGTGGAGTTTATTTTAATGTTTATTTTTGAGAGAGAGAGAGAAAGTGTGAGTGGGGGAGGGGCAGAGAGAGAGGGAGCCAGAGGATCCGAAGCGGGCTCTTGGCTGACTGCAGAGAGTCCAATGCAGGGCTCAAACTCCTGAACTGTGAGATCATGACCTGCGCTAAAGTTGGACGCTTAACTGAGCCACCCAGGCGGCCCTGGAGTTTATTCTAAATGTGATCAGAAACCACACTATTTCTGATTTAGAAAGCTCACCTTTGCTGCTCTGTGGAGTAAGTTGTAGTGGGTCTTTTGATTAAAGTTGTGTCTCTCATACTCATGACTTTTCATGGGCCGGCTTATATTATAATATTTTATATTGATGTGCCACTGTTCCAGCTGATTCTGGGTGATGTGAACAATGATCGCCTGGTTAGAGTGTGTATATTCTTATACTTTCTTTGCGTCTGTTAAGGCGTGCCAACTTCTGTTTATTGGTAAGGCTATCCTAAATTTAGGAGTAAAACTTCTTTTAACTGTTTCAGTAAAAAGCTGAAATATGTTTCTACTCAGTCCAAAACACATTAACTTACGTGTAGCACATTTCTTCATTTGGATAAAATTGGTTGTTTACAAATGGCCCTTGTGGATGATGGTAGCTTGTTCTCTTTGTCCTGATTTTCTCACACAGTGGATTTGGCATGCACGGCCAGTGAGACAGTTGACGACAATTTTGGGTGTACAAGTCATTCCTAACTGTTCTCATTATCCCCCTTTGAACCCTTGTGCCTTGTCAGGATCTTATATACACGGCAAAGGAGAGGTATTTGAATGACAACAAAAGTGGGCCAGGATAGTGATATTGAGATGTTACCTGGGTGTTAAAATGATCCTGCTGTATTTAACAGAGCTTCTTTGAATTTGGATCCTGTCCTTAAAGTAAGACAGCATCTTTGTGAAGGGAGACTGTTCGGTAGTGAGAGTAAAAATGGCAGGATGGCCAGGCGAAAGGATGTGATTGCTGCCTTACACTGCAGCATCATCACTGTCCATGCATAACATCACTAGGAGGTGAGGTTTTGCTGAGCAAAATGTTTGATACCAGGGCTGTTGGAAATGTTAACTGAGGTAAGAGACTTGTGTTATTTCTGCTACTGTCTAGGATCATGAAAATTCCAAAGGCATAGCCAGCTTTAGAGGCATAACAAGAATCAGAATAAATTTCTGCAGATGTATGAATTGCATGCCGTAGTCAAGGTAAGAGAGGTAGCCACGT